GTACACACACACACACACACACACACACACACACAGAATGGTAGGGATTGGTTTGTACTGTGTCCTCCAATGATAAAGAAGATAAATAGAAAGTAAAATTCCAAGATAAGCAGCACTGTCCTCCTGTAAGTGATCAGAATGCCTCGTGCCGAGCACAGTGCATGTGGCAGAGTCTGTCCCAGTGGCAGCTACAGGACAGGCAGTCCCTCGCCCTGTGACGATGCCTCTCGGGTCTCCGGGTCCTCAGCTTGCACCTGCCACCTCAGCAGTGTTTGGTTCCCCATTGGCACGTGGGGCCCTGGATGCTGCAGTTCCAGCCAGAAGTAGACCTAGTGTTTTCTTGCCGTACATACCTGTCTCTACGTGGGCTGTTCCCGTGTCCTTGCTGTAGTTCCCACTGGCCACTTGTCGGTTGTGATCACCAGAACACTGGCGGTGGGATGATCGTTTCTATTTACAGAAAACTTTATTTTTCAAAGACATGTATTTGTTACAGATTTTACATCCTGAAGTCCAAACTCTAGATCTGCAGAGTTGTGATATCTCTGATACTGCTCTCCTCCACTTGTGTAACTGCAGAAAACTGAAGAAACTAAACCTAAATTGCTCAAAAGGAAACCGCATTTCCATAACTTCAGAAGGTATGTTTGTTATCGCTGAATAAAGAGGGTGGGTGGCTGTAGCTGCTGTTACCATTTTGGAGTAAAGAAGAGGAAACTGTCAGGAGAGAGTACGATGATGTCAAAGAAATACAAATTATATTTGTCCATAAAATTATTTGACAGAAAAGTAATCCATTAGAATTTCATCCATTAGAATTCGATGAAAAATCAGTTAAGAAATATCTAGGGTAGGGCCGGGGATATAGCTCACAGCATAAGCCCCTGCTTAGCAAGTGCAAGGTCCTGTGTTTAATCTGTGGTACCCCCACCCCCCAAAAAATCTGTCTGTCTAGGGTGGTTCAGTACCTTGTATTTCAAACATTTAAATTAAACATGGATATGCATGTCTATACTTGAAATATTTTGCTGGAAGAGTGAAAGGAGAAATGCCCCATTCATCTTCAGATAAGGCTCTTTTGGTATAATACTACAACAACTAATCATAAGATTAATGAGTCATTTTGCTATCAGCCTATACAGTGTGTAATTTTTTGTAGCTAAACTGCATTTTCAGGGCTTGTACATGATTCAGTGAATTTTTCACTTTTTCTTCAGTATAGTTGTTCTGTCTTTCAAGAGAGGATTTCTTTTTTTTTGGAATAAAAAAGATGTATTTCTTATCTCAGTAGGTTTCTAGAAATGCAGTGGGTAGTTGGCTGTTGGTAGTTCTCATGTCCAGGGGCTCAGGGCTTTTATTGGTAGCAGGGAAGTGCGTGGGGGTTGTGGCAGAGCACTAGGAAAAAGAAACTTTGTGGCCATGGCTGTGATGTACAACCAAGCACTAGCAACAGAGGTCTGCAGTCAGCAGTACACAGATAGTGTTGATGTAGGCAAAGCAGGCACCTTTCCTGCCAGGAAGCAGAAAACACTGTCTCATGTCTTAGCTCTGAAGTCTCACGGACTCTTGCTTAAGCCACCTTTCCAGCTGTTGACACAGAGGCTGTGTTCGCCTGCCTGTGCGGCTTTGCTGGTCCCGGGCTCACAGTGCATCCACTCCTAGGTGGACATGTGTCTCCAGTCCCCAAAGCAAGGCTATTAAGTATACTGTACTTTTAACATAAAGGTTGTTCATCAAGCCAGAGTAGAAATTGATGCTCTTGATAAAAAGTCTTCACAGCTAACTGAAACATAAATGTTGCCTCTGTTAAGGCACAGTTCCTTATGTAGTCAAAAGCCTAACCCTGAAACCCAAACCACAGAAAATAATCTTAGTGGGCCGGGGAGATGGCTCAGTGGAATAAGCACTTCCCTGGCCAGCACAAGGGCCTAAGTTCAATCCCCGGCTCCACAAAAAAAAAAAAAGAAAGAAAGGAAAAGAATCTTAGTAAAACATGAAATCCTTGTTCTTTAAGTTAGTTTTATAAATATAATCATGAGCTGACCTGTGGTTTAAGAAAAGCTAATGACTTAGATTTTCCTTCCGTAATACATTTTCCTTTTAGAAAACCCTTCGGGTGGCACTTTTAATTAATTACGAACAGTTTAGGCACAAATGTAAGAATTTGAAAGATAATGTTTGTATCTTAAGAACCCTGTTATGGTTTGTGTCTAGTTGTTCCCCCAAAGCCTCACGTAAGTTATGGGCAGACAAGGCTGGAGCAGCAACAAGTGGCTTGAGGGGCAGGGCCAACCTGCTCAACTGGCTAGCCTGTGCTTTCTGAGAGATGTGGAGAGGGTCATCCTGGACAGGCAGCGCCCCAGCCTCTCCTCCAGTGTCTTGAAACCTCCAGTAACTGTGAGCTACCTTTCCTTCCCTCACTTTGAGTGTCAGGTATTTGTCCCAGCAATGAGAGAAGAGTAACTAATACAGAATTGGGTGCCAGAGAAGTGGGGTCATTGCTGTGGCTACACCTGACCATGTGGATTACAAGCTTTTGGGAATGGCTTATGGGAAGAGATAGGAAAGGTTTGGAGTTGTCACCTACAAGCGAAGTACTGGAACAGGCTTGGCTGTTCTGGAGGGAAGATTCTGGTCAGAGCTCAGACCAGAAGAATGATAGAAAACCTGCCTGCAAAGACCACACTGAGGAGGTTTCTGCTAGGAAGAAGGATTGCATTGCTTCTTGGACTTCAGATCATTTGTTTTGGCTTGGCAGAAAGTTTGTCTGAATGTCCCGAGACTTTGAGACTGAGATTAAATATGGAGGACTGATTAATTTTTCAGAGGAAATCTCAAAGAAGTCAAACATTGGGGCAGTGGCATAGTTATTGTTGGGGGCTCTTAGTCAGATTTATGTTGAGACTAAAGAGCAAAGAGCCCAGCAGAATGATCTAAAATGATATGAGTTTGGCCAGAAAGGAAGTGCCAAGAAGGCTGGGGACTGCAAAGATAGAGCTGAGATCTCCATTGCCCAGGAGGACCGGGAGAGTAAAAAGGATGTCCTGAGGGCATCACAGGAGGTGGAAGGTTTCTCACCCTCTGCAGCCTCAGAATCTCAAGGGTGAGGGACTTTGTTTTGAGGAGAAATCCACAGAGCGCCATGTTCCAGAATGGAAGTGGCGGCCACACCAGATTGCAAAGTGGAGGCAGCAGCCACACCAGGTTTCAGAAAGACACTGGCATAGAGAATTTGTTCCTCAGAATCAGGGTCAGAGTGCTCAGCAGTCCAGGCACTCGACCCCTGCAGCCAAGAGAGAGGAAAGCCTGGCTACTGCTCCAGCCAGCAGCGGACCTTGGCATCATCCACGTGGCACTGGTTTTAGGCGCATGCAGAATGCAGGAGTTCTAAGGTTAAGAAGGCTTCCTCCTTGATTTCAGAAGAAGGCCTGGGAGGCCAGGCGGTGTGTCCCTGAGAGGGCAGTGTGTGAAGCTGTGAGTGAGAAGCCTGTTCAGTGGAAACCTCAGAAATTTGGAAAAGCCAGGAATGTGGATCATCATCTAAGGGAAACTGCAAGGAGAGAGCAAAGCCAGCCTAAGAGCAAAGCCACGGGAGCTACAACCACCAGAAGTGCCATAAGGGCAGAGCCACGTGGAGCTCACAGTTTGCCACAGACTGCTTCAGATGTTCCACATGGAACTATAGGACTTAATGTTTCCCCTGCTGGATTTTGGACTTGTTTTGACCCCAGTGGTTTGTATCCTACTGTGTATACCTTTGGAAATGGCAGTGTTTATCTTGTGCGTTTGAATGTTGGATATATTTAACATTTTATTTGTACAGGGGCTCACAGTTGAGAGCTTGCCTTGGATTTTGGAGGAGACTTGGGACTTAGACTTTTCACAATGCTGAAACTGTTGACCTTAGGCAACTCTTTAGAGGTAGACTGAAATGCCTTTTGGACAAAGAGATGTGCACGAGACTTTGGGGGTCCAGGGGCAGAATGTTACAGTTTGTGTCTAGCTGCCCCCCCCCCAAGCCTCATGTAAGTTATTGGGCAGACACGGCTGGAGGAGCAATGAGTGGCTTGAGGGGTGGGGCCAGAGGACAGGGTGGGACCAGAGGGGTGGGGTGGGGCCAGAGGAGCAGGGCCAGAGAGGCATGAACCCTTAAACTGGCTAGCCTGTGCTTTCTGAGAGGTATGGAGAGATATGTCCAGGTCCGTCCTGGACACAGCAGCACCTCAGCCTCTCCTCCAATGTTTTGAAACCTCCAGTAACTGTGAGCTAAATAAACCTTTCCTTCCATCATTTTGGTGTTGGGTATTTGTCCCAGCAGTAAGAGAAGAGTAACTGAAGCAAAACTTTACAGCCTATTTAGGTTTTTCATTAGCTTTAAAAACCAGTCATTTAGGGGCCGGAGAGATAGCTCAGTAGAATAAGTGCTTGCCTGGCAAGTGCAAGGGCCTGAGTTCAATCCCCAGTTCTGAAGAAAAAAAAAAAAAAACCTATTATTTAGGTCTAAGGAGAAGAACATGTAGCAGGCAAGTCCTCTCATCCAAGATCTCTATATACAGGAGAGTAGTGGGGGAAGGTACAGAGAGGCGGCGGGTCTCCTAGTCTGAGTGCAGGCCTGGAGCGCAGCCTAGGCCCTCACTGTGGTGGGGTCGATAGGTTGTGCTGATGGCTTCTGGGTGTGGGGAGGCGCAGCCTGACAGGTGCACACCTACAAAATGGGATAAAATGCAGTAGGAAGGGGAGAGGGAGAAAGAGACGCCTTCCATGGAGGAAGCTTCATGCTGCCTATGATACCATGAGAGGGCAATACGGGACTCAGGCAGCAGGTGTCCTTGGACCAAGTGAGGACGGAGTGAGGACGGCTCGCCAGAAGATGCCAACACAGGTAGCTTCATGGAGGAATCACAAACTCTTGTATTTGGGAAGCTGGTGCAGCACGAAGAGTGAAAATGTGGGGACATGGGGTGGTCCTGATGATCCCAGGGGCCCCTCGGGCCTGATCCTTCTGCCTCTGAGAGGCCATCTGGGCATCGGTGGCAGCTGAGGGTGGCTCGAGATGGCCCGCTCAGGGCCCCGTCCTCTGCGTGGCGAGGGAAGGACCGTCCTCCACAGCCAGCGCAAGGCCCGACCCGCGGCCAGACGAGCCACACCCCGGGGCTCGGGCAAGTTGTCCCCCAGCCATGCCAAGGAGGTCGAGGGCTCTGTGCTGCCTGTCCTGTGGCTGCTGCTCACCTGGCCTGCAGTCTGCAGAGAAGACGAGAGCAAGTGAGAGACACAGAATGTGAACAGCCCCGGACTCCCTCTGATCTCTTTCGGAACTCACATCCTCTTACCCAAGAGCCCAGCTTCAGTGCAGCTCTGTACTCAGAAATACCACCACATCCCGTGCCCTCAGGATGGCCATACTTGGTCTCTGCCCCTCCCTGCCCCGTGGCATTTCCCTGTCTCTCCTCTGAGTCTTCCTTGCTGCTCTTGGTCTCCTGGGAGTCCTGTCTGCCCCCAGGTGCAGCCTGGATCACAGGTCGCTCCCTGTGCCCCCGCTGTCCCCACACCCATGGCTGCCCTTGCCCTGGGAGGCTGCTTCTACTCACCTCCACGCATTGCTGTCCCTCACGCATCGCAGGCAACCCTGAGAGTGGTGCCACCTCTGTGACTTGTGCTGGTCTGCATGAGGGCGAGTCTCGACACGCCTGCTGTCCCTGCCAGGTGCTCTGAGCTGGGGCTGGAGGGGAACAGCCACCAGGTTGGAGGTCCTCGGCCACAGTAACTTGGAAGAAATCCCAGTCGCCATCTTTTGCCTTTGTCTGAATTTCCGTGTGCATACAGCTTTCCTTCTCTTTGTCAGTGTTTTGGCTTCTACTGTCAGCCTTTTGGCTTTCATCATGGTCCATGTGGACACCCTGAAATGTCTCCAGCAGATTCACGAGGCCGTCCAGTTTGCCACTGGTGAGCTTTGATTCTTCTTTGGGGCGCTTGTCCTGCAACCCCTTGCCTCCATGAGCAGCTGACGCTTCCTGGCCATCGTGGGCAGCCCAGGCCACAGTGATACCAAGTTTGTAGATCTGCTGCGGGTCTTCCTGCAGGAGCTGTCGAAGGCTGGGCCTCCTCTTCTCTCTAGGCCCCCGCGTACCTTGGCAAGGAGGGTCGAGGCTGCCTGAAAGACACACACAGGGAGCTGCATCTTCGAGAACAATGTTGTCATCCCAGGACGAGGGCTTTGCACAGGGGAATCGGCCCCCGGAGAGGCCCGGCACGGTTTTGGTTTTGGAATCACAACCCTCTGTGTCAGAGGGGTCCCTGCTAGGGGACAAGGACGCCATGGAAGTGAAGAGCCAATGTGAGAGTCTCCGTCAGCACAGGACGCTGCCAGAGGGGAAGAAATGGGAGCTACCAGGGAGGAGATCCACTGCCATGTCCTGGGGCGTACACAGGAGATGTGAGAGAATCTTCAGCTCCCAAGGTTCTGTGGTTCATGGTCAGGTAGGTAGGTCGTAATCCATCTTCTGTGACTGCTGGTTACTGTGGTGATATCCAAACCAGGGTAGCCAAACAGGAATAGCAAGAAAAGGGATAGGATACCACAGGATCTCTTGCTTCCATCCAAAACAGTGCTGAACACACCATGCAAGTGGAAGGGTCCCTGAGGCCAGGGACCCAGGTTGAGGGTTACTTTCCTCTCATCGTGGGGTCATTCCTGTCCTCAGGGAACTGAGACTCTCTTTGGGGAGCTCCACATAAACAGTCTGATGTAAGACTGGTGCTAAGTTCAAAGTGCCTACAACTCGTGTCCTGGTGATATAGGATAAATATAACTCCCAACTTAATAGATGTCATACGTGCTGAATTTGTGTCCCCTGAAAATCAAAGAATGAATTCCAAAGGATAAAGGGAATTAAGTCTAGGAAATGTTTACTGGGGAACGGGAACAGCTCCTGAGAGACAGGAGGGGTCCCAGAACTGGATTGCCACTTTCAAGCCCTTCGTGGGTTAGTTCACACACTAAAGTCACGAATGTAGGTACAACATGGGTCTAAGTATAATCAACATATAGGGTTACAAGTACAGGCAGCTAGCTAATGTTGATCCAGTAAGGAAGTGGGGCACATTGCAAGGGCTTATGGATGACATCATTCACCTTGGCTTATCTATGACTTTTTTTTAATGTATTTAGGACAAGGTCTACAGGGTCTCACTACATAGATTGGACTTGTAGTGATTCTCCTGTTTTCAGCCTCTCAAGCGCTGGGATTACTAGCTTGTACCACCATGCCCAGTCTCAATTATTGCTTCAGGGCGCCCCAGGAGTGGGGCTGGCGTGGCACTCAGGCATGAACCCCGGCCACTGCACTCTGCCTGAGCAGACGCTTTAGTCTGCTGAGCTCTGAAGCAATAATGTTTTAGGGATGGGTAGGCCCAGGTGTCTGGTGCATATCTGGATTTAACGGGGCAGGATGGTACCCATTACTATATAATGTCAAATTTCCATTAACCCTTCAGGGAAATATGCAAGTCTGGCCCTTGTGATTTTATTTTTTTTTATTTTTTTTTTTTTTTAATAAAAGCAACTCTACATTTATTGGCCTTCAGTAAAAACATAAGAGTAGTCAAAACAATATGAACAAAAGTTTTACAAACACTCCTAGGGCAAACCACTTAAACAATTGCCTTTTTACGTATCATCATAATTGCCACTGCCTCACTTCCCTGATTGAATTCATTGATCATTTCTAGTTGGAGACACTTTGTAGCAGAGTAATGTTATCTCCTTTCAGCATGATCCGACCCAGTTGTTTTCTTGACTTTGTTTTAGAATGAATTTCTTCTGCATCATCTAATACAAGGTTCATGTACTCATCAAAACCAGTAATACAGCCCTCTATCCGCATATTCACTTGCTCATACAGCCACATCTGGATCCGGGATCTATTCTGCAAGTATCTGAAGATGAGGTTGATGGGCTGCACCATCACCTTCTGGACTTTCTGGCCCTGACCCCGGTACGCCATGGCGGAGCCCGACCTGGCCCTTGTGATTTTAATCTTGGCCTTTCCTTGTTTAGATGGGCCTCCAACCACACTTCTGGTGCCTCTGCCTTTCACTGACTTTGTTGAGAGCCCAGTCCTTTTCTGACTATGTGTAAATTTCTATCTAATTTAACTGACTGGTCTAAGGTTTTTTGTTTGATTGTTTGTTTATTTATTTATTTATTTGGCAGAACCAGGGATTGAACTCAGGCCCTTGCTCTTGCCAGGGAAGCGCTTATTCCACTGAGCCATCTCCCTGGCCCCTGTTGTAAGGTTTTTTGTGCCTAGATAAGAAACAGGAGAAAAACAAAGAGGCCTTTATTGCTTCCTGGGAGGACTGATTAAAGAGATCAGGTAGATAGAGACCTTGGACTTTTATGGATTTAGGTCAGGTCGGAGTTGGAGGAGAGCTGAGTGACATCTTGGGAGGTGGTTGGGGCTATTAAGGCAGGGTGTCAAGAGCTGACTGGGGGAATACTAGCTTGCCTAAGAGCAAGCTTTTCCTTAAAAGGAAAGAAAAAGTAGGCCATAAGCTATTGTTGTTGGGCCCCTGCCATGATGACCAGGCAGATTTTTTTGGTATGGTCAGTAAACTCACCACCTGTAATATTCGCCCCTCTAAAGAGGTATCCTTAACTGTAGTTAGAGGAAAATCGGTGAAATTTCAGTAAAGCTGCTTCAAGCTAGAAGGGTTGATGTAGGAGAGACCACTGCTGGACCTTCTCTGGAGTGGTAATCTAGGGGCCGTGGATAGAAGTCATGTTGAGGATCAGCAGCTATCAGCTTCTTTACAATGTCAGTCTAGTGGATTCTGGTAAAAAGAGTCTCTGGCACTTTTTTTTTTCCTCTTCCTGGTACCAGGGATTAGAACTCGGGACCTTCTGCTTTCCAGGCAGGCGCTTATGCCACGGAGCTATCTCCCTGGCCCCAATCTGGCACATTTGTAATTGGCTGTGTCTGCCTGATCATTTGAAGTTTGGTAGCTGCTCAGTGAGCATAAATGACTGTTTCCAAGAGTGCAAAGCATGTATAATCCTATTAGCAGTTCACGAGCAGTAGGATGGAAAGGCAGGCTGAGCGCAGAGCCATGTCCAGACAGCGCTCGTGAGGGACTGGAATGGTGATGATATCCATCTGGCTCGTAGCCCTCGCCACTGACTGCGGTAACCTCAGTCTGATACTTCTTGTCATAGAGCCCTCTGGCTTTAACTGTAAGAACATGGAGAGTTTGGTGGTTTTGAAAAAAAATTTTAGTCAAAGAATTTAAAGAGTGTTGCTGAGCTTTTCTGGTTTCCCCTGTAGTCATTTAGCTTTGCTGAATCGTAACAGTGGTCAGCTAGAGGCATAGTGGACACTGACGGCGGGGGTCAGTTATTGGGACCTCTTTTGTATATCTAGCCTTTATTATTATGGTGCTATTTTTATACATCTGTTGGTTATATTTTCCTGGTAGGGGCTTAAGACCAAGTTAAAGCGAGACTTGTATTAATCAAAATTAACCTCTTTCTGTCTATCAAGGTCAACTAAAGCTCTTTAAGGTGGTAACCTAGTGCAGCGGTTTATGCGTCGGACTCTACAGCGTGAGGTCACTGGTTCGAGCCCCCGTCCTGACTCTTTATTTGGGGCTGGTGAGATGGCTCAGTGGTGTAAAGCACCTACTTTAGAACAAGCTTAGCAAAGCACAGGGACCGCGGTTCAATCCCCCAGCACCGCATGCCAGCCAGCCCCGCCCCCTGGTGGGCTGAGCTGGCCACACACACACACACACACACACACACACACACAAATAAATAAATTTTTAAAAAAAGCTCTTTAGGCATTCCTTTTGTAGCCAGGGACAGAGCCTCTCATCTCCTGTCAAGGTCTGCCACCACGATGGCTCACAACCTTGCCTGACTGCACCACCTCGTGTGAAAGCATGGGAGACTTTTCCCTCTCTGCTGACTGTCTTTTTTTGGCACACCATATTGGTTGACTCCTGTTCCAGGGTCCAACAACCTCTCTGCTTGGGAGTTTGGATGATTCATTAAAGTTGTAGGATCTTGTAGAAAAGGTCCCCTCATGTCCCAAGTCCCTGTTGACCTTGGCAGGCCAGGGCCAAAAAGCAGTATAGCTGCTTCAAGCTAGAAGTTTCAATGTAGGGGAGACTACTGTTGGGCCAGTTAAGGGCCGGCCACATAGCTCAGCAGACGAAAGTGCCTGTTTAGACAGGTGCAGGGACAGGGGTTTGATCCCCGGAGTGCTGGGCCGGCCCCATTCCCAGGGCACACTGAGACAGCGACTAAGACTGGGCGTGTTGGTGCACGCCTATAATCCCAGCACTTGGGAGGCCGAAAATAGAAGGATCACTATGAGTCAGTCTGTGTATTGAGACTCTGTAGACCCTGTACTAAATACATAAAAGATAAATTAAAAAGCCCAGTTACCTTTTAGCTCTGGTCTCCAAACCTTAGTGATAGAACACCCAGAAGAGAAGACTGGTTACATCAGTACTGCAGTGGGAGAAATAGGCTTAAACTTAGGATCTTAGCTAGATAGCAAGTACTTTGAAGTACATCGTATAACCAGCGAACTGTTATTTCTTTACCAGTTGTGCTTGTCTTAGAAGTTGAATCCCTGTAGAATGTTAATAGATGACAATCATAAAGCTTTATAGGGAAAACTTGAGATTAAGGGCCACGTGGCATTTTAGCATGATAATCACAATGATACTATTATCTTGAAAGCACACTTAATGTCCATCTTAGTATAAAATAGCTTTTTAGTCAGTTATCTTTATCTGATTACAAAATATTAAGTGACATGAAGTTTTACCTCATTTATCTTTTAACCATTTTTTTGTTACCAGAATGATATTTAAGTTGAATGTACTTCTTTATAAATTAATTTATAGATTATTGTCTAATCTCTAAACATTAGAATCATATTGTCTGGGCTTCACAGCGTTTAGAAACTTTTAACTGTTATAACACAATTACATAACAGCTGACCAAGCCTGAAAACATATCCACAATCTGCCTGGCCGTCTCATGGTAGATTGGCACGTACATTTTATCACGAGTACCTGGAATGCCAGAAGCTTGAGCCTGGAAAGTTTACCATCATGAGCACTTTAACCTGGAAGGCACTGGTTTTTCTGTTTGGTATCTCTGCAGGCCTGTACACTTGGGAAGCACAGATGTACCATGAGGTTATCAATAACTGGTATAACAGCTAAAAATCTTTACATGTTTTTACTCTTAAGACACATTTTAGACTCCTTTAACAGATTTTATAAGGTGTAACTATCTTTAAGAATTAAGGATATTTTTATAGCTGTAATAAGTTTTGGAAACAGTGTTAATAACTGTAAATAGACTTACTACCCTACAAACTAGTGCATCTTATTGGAATGATAAGATGTTTGGGCAGGTGTGATGATACTTGCCTATAATCCCAGCATTTGGGAGGCAGAGGCAAGAGGATTGCTGTGAGTTCAAGATCAATCAGCCTGGGCTACAAAGTGAGTTCAAGACCAGCCTGAACTGCATAGTGAGACCCTGTCCCAAATAGGAGAGGCTGTGTGCCTCTCACACACAAAAAAAAGTTGTTTAATCAAAACCAATAAATATTAGTCAAATTTATAGATATTAGTCAAGTTTAAGTGTCAGGACCAGATTTTAAAAGATGTCAGATTTTGGTCATTTTATATGTTTGAGATCTAAACACATGTTTTATAAGAGAGCATGTACTAGTTAATTTGTTTCTATTAAGTTTACATAGTATTAACTCTATAAAATTAACT